ATTCTCATTGGGCCTGAACCTCTCAGAAAGGCAAGAAAGGAATGGGAGGGACACTTGATATAGATGGGGGGGGGGGATCAGAAAAGAACTACAAAAGCAGACAATGTTCTGTGGCCTTCCGGTTACTGGAGGGGGGAGGCGGGGGGGGGGAAGAGCCTGGAGCCAGTCTGGTAGGGACAAAAGCGTGCCCTCATGAGTCCACAGCTCATAACTGACGCTCAAAGCAATAATGAGGACCCACTGAGAAAGGGCCAAAATCTTTTTATTGTTTCTACTGGAAAACACAGGAAACTGTAGAGAGAGCTCTGTCAAACTGGGGGTTGGGGGGGGCGAACCTTGGCGCTAAAATAATAGAACCTTCTTTCTAGAAAAGTCGACCAACGTAGAACAGCTCTTCTCAACTGCTGACAGGTAATGAGAGGGTTCTGAACCTGGCATTATGGTTATAGTTCGTCAGCCCTGTCCCCAGACCAGCCGGGCCAGGCCTGCGAGCTCAGCGTGACCACGGTGGGCAGGAGGCTGGCTGCCTTGGCCTATGAAGCAGAGGACAGGACACGCTTGCCCTGATGCCTACGGAGCTCCTCTCTGGGTGTGGGACACTGCTCCACACAGTCTCACTCGGCCCTGCCTCAGGCTAAGGGAACCTCCTAGATCAAAGAGTGGCCACAGCCACCCACCCCTCACTGACACCCCTCGGCCTCACTGCAAATACTTCCGCCTCCCTAGCATTTTCTCCAGCAAGCTACAGGCATGTCTGGAAGACAACATTTGCAGCAGACGTAACAGAGGGCTGAACGGAGCTCCTCTCCACCGCCTCTGAAACCTCTTCCCATCCACCAATTGCTTTTATTTACTTTTTTCTCTAAAATACAACGCACTAAGTGTTCACCTAAAAAAAAAAAAATTTAGAAGCGATGGGTAAGGAAGAAGGAAATGAAAGAACATTCGAGATCCTAATACTCAGAAAGAACCCCTATTAACGTTAGGTGTGTATGCTTTCGGTTTTTTCCGGCGAGGTAGACAGATGGATAGAAATTTTCTAATGAGATTAGTGATATTTCACCTTTTTGTTTCACTTCGCAGTTGGTCATGAGATTTTCTTGCATGAAATGCTCTCTTTGAGAATCAGCGGTTCTCAGAGTGTGTTCTGGGGATGCCCAGGGGATTCCCAAGACTTTCAGGGATTCTGATGGGTTGAAACTATTTTCATAATAATACTAGGACAAGATGTGCCGTATTCACTGCTATTCTCTCAGACGTATACAGCGGAGTTTTCCAGAGGCTACGTGCAAGGTATTGAAACAGGCTGAATGCAGGAGCAGATATGGAAATCTTCTAATATAAATACATATATAACATGCAAATCTTCTATGAAGCTAGACAAATTTATTATTAGCTTTTTGTTTTGGAAAATAGCTATTTTTCATAAAAATATGTTTCTTGGGAGAATGTGAAATGGGTTCTTCAATGTTATTTAAAAAAATTTTAATGTTTTTCTTAAAATTTATTTTTAAAGGAGAGAAAGACAGACTGTCAGTGGCAGGGGGTGGGGATGGGGGTGGTGCAGAAAGAGAAGAAACAGAATCCAGAGCAGGCTGTCAGCACAGAGCCTGATGCAGGGCTTGAACTCATGAATGGTGAGATCATGGCCTGAGCTGAAGTTGGATGCTTAACTGCCTGAGCCACCCAGGCGCCCCTTACTGATATTATTTTAAATAACTCAGTCAGTTAAGAGGCTGACTTTGGCTCAGGACATGATCTCATGCTTTGTGGGTTTGAGCCTGTGTCAGGCTCTGTGCTGACAGCTCAGAGCCTGGAGCCTGCTTCAGATTCTGTGTCTCCCTCTCTGTCTGTCCCTTCCCTGCTCGCGCTCTGCCTCTGTCTCTCTCTCTCAGAAATAAATAAACATTGAAAAAAATTAAAAATGAATTAACAAATATCTATTTTTGAAATCCCTTCATTTTTATCTTGAATATGCCAAATATTGATAGAGCCCATCTAAGTAAAAGCTCTTTGGCGTCCTCGATACTTTAAAAAAGTGTAAGTGATTCTGAACTGAGCACTTGGCAGCAACTGTTCTACATCATCAGTTTTTTTTTTTTAAGTGTTTATTTGCTTTTGAGAGAGAGAGAGACAGAGCAAGCAGGGGAGGGGTAGAGAGAGAGGGAGACAGGAGACAGAATCCCATGCACGTTCTGCGCTGTCAGCACAGAGCCCAATGCAGGGCTCAAACTCACGAACAGCAAGATCATGATCTGAGCTGAAATCAAGAGTCAGATGCTTCGCTGACTGAGCTCCCCAGGCACCTCTACATCATCAGTTTTGGTAGCTGCATAGCTTCCCTTCATGTGGATGGCCCCTAATTCATTCACACATTTCCTTATTGATAGACCCGCAGCCTGCTTCCAATTTTCACTATTATAAAAGTGCGGCATGAACCAGCATAAACTTCTGTAAAGTGAAAACTTACTGAAATGAGACAAAACAACAGAAGCCAACTGGTAAAGTGAGCCGTCACTGTGAGTCCATTATCAGTCAACTTAAACACCATGTATCACAGAACGTGAACAAATAAAGCTGAAATTATGAATTATATGAATTTGAGAATGTTCTCTCTGTAGGAAATTAAAAAAAATTGTAAAAAAGATCGAGTACTAAAGAACGTTGCAAACATTTTTTTTTTTTTTAATATTTGAGACTATTTCTGTTGGATGAATTCCTTGAAGTGAAATTGCTGGGCCAGTGGATGTGTGTGTTTACATGCTAATAGTTATTGCCAAGCTACCTGTAAATTTGACGTAAACACATCAAGTGCACCAAGAATGTGCTCTGTCACATCCTTGAAACACCAGAGATAATTATGCTTTTATATCTTTCCTATTTTAGTAGGTTAAAAGAGTTATTTTCATCTTCTGTGAACTGCTTTTTCATATCGTTTGCCTATTTTCCACTGGGTTCTTTTTCTTATTGGTTTTTCTGGAACCCTCTCTTCTGGACGTGGATCTGCTGTCTGTTAGAGTGCCAGTATTATGTCAGTGACATGGCTTGCCTTAAAATTTCCTTAGCTGCCTCATGGTAGTACAGAAAACTTTACCTTAAAAATTTTTTTTTGTTCCAATCTATTCATCATTCCTTTATGGTTTGGGGATTCTTGTCTTGCTTAGAAAGCCTTTCCTTATTGCATGATTTAAAAAAATACTCTCCGGGGCACCTAGGTGGCTCAGTCAGTTAAAGCATCAGACTTCGGCTCAGATCACTAACTCACTTGTGGGTTCGAGCCCCGCGTCGGGTTCTGTGCTGACAGTGCAGAGCCTGGAGCCTGCTTCGGATTCTGTGTCTCCCTCTCTCTCTGCCCCTCCCCTGCTTGCACTCTCTCTCTCTCAAAAAAAAAAATAAATAAACATTAAAAAAATAATAAAAATACTCTCCATTTTCCTGTAACATACCTGCAGCTTTTTCTTTCCTTTTCTCCCTTCTCTCCTCTTTTCTTTTAACGGTTAGATCTTTAACACATCTGGAATTAATTTCTGTTACAATGTGAGGCACTATTTATTGCCCTTTGCAAGCCAGTACCGTGGAGTACCGCAGGGTGCTGGCAACGGGCTTGGGCCCCAGTAGGGACCAACCCAAACGTGGTTGGGGTCCTGCTTCGGCTGGAGCTTAGCTGGTCCCGGAAGCAGACAGGTATCTGAGCCCATCTGGTCCGAGAGGGGAGACAAGCAACGCTTCAGAATCCTTCCGACGGCGTCAGAGCTGCTGTGGGCATCGGTGGGCAAAGTCCGTGTGCAGAGCTAACGATTTTCCCAGGAAACTCCCCAAACACCTTTCCCATGCTATGTGGCCCACAAGGAGCTTCCATATCTACCGTCCCACTCCATGCCAGCGTCACACATGTGGACGGAGGAGAATTCAGCATCCCTGTTCCCGTAAGGGCTAGATGAGGCACAGCAAGGTTAAGTGACATCTGAATCACATGGCTGGCAAGTGGCGGAGCCCCCTAGAACCCGGATCTCCTGCCACCAGGGCCATGGCGCCTTGGGCCTCTCTGTGCATAGGGCTCTGTCCTCAGGTGTCACTGTGGCTGCCCCCTTTAGTGGGGGGAAGATATGGCCCAAGGCTTTCCCAAATCTGGGCCCATGGATAGGAGAGACTGGAAAAATCCATCCACCACCACCAGCTGACAGCGGATTTTGAGAACCGAGGCTTCCTTCCGCATATACCTCCTCCTCCCCTGGGTGGTTTGGTGGAGGGTGGGAGTAGAGATGAGTCAGGCCGGGAAGGGAGAGCTCAGCCATAAACAAGCGAGACTGACAGCGAGCACTTTCCCCGCGGCGCGTGACCTCCCACGGGCCTCCAGCGACTCCTCCTGAACGGAGAGCTTCAAAATTTCATGATCTAGGTTTTGCAGATTTAATTTGCTATATTCACAAAAGCAGCCGCAGAAGGAGGGAAACCTTTAGACGGGAAGCAGGGATGAGGGAGAAGAAACATTATTTCCAGCCTCTCAGCAGAGAGTTCGGAACTTTTTTTTTTTTTTTTTTTTTTTTAAGGAGCGTGTCATTCTTGCAGCAGCGGGTGTGCCTGTGGCTGGGCCCTCCTCCCGTCCAGCTCCAAACCACAAGGACATCCAGGACATGCAATGGCAGAGCTGGACCTGGTCTTGGAGATCAGCCGGAGATCAGATGTTCCGACCCCGGGTGCTAATGGGACCCCCAAGCATCCAAAGGGAAGGGACTTGTCCAAGTGCTTCAGGGAAGCAATCTTTGGGGGGAGTTTTGGGAACAGATCTCAAGTCTCCTAGATCCTGGCCTGACTCATTCTGATGAACCTCAGGAAAACCCTGGGGAGGGCACAGCACCTGATATGTTACGAGGAAGTAACAGGGCGGGCAGGGGGCTGGTGGTGCAGAGGGAAATGGAGGCAGCAGGCTCAGCAGTGACCAAGAAGGGCTTCCCCCTGCTCTGGGCTACAGCCAGCGTTCGGGAGGTGCGGGCCCTTACCTGCTCCAGGGGGATGACCAGGAAGGAGCCACCTCCTGCACTCTCGGTGACGATGGCCAGGAAGCGGGCGTTGACAGCGCAGAAGTGGTTATCGTGCACATTCTTGGTGATGGGGATACCATCGAAGCAGTGCTCCCGATTGGCCACCTTCCCGTAGACGTTCCGGAACTTGGAGCTGCGGTACTGTGGACGCCAGGACATCTGTGAGGGGCCAGGAGAGACATGGGTCAGGCAGGCCACTGCTTCCGGAAAGGCCTGGGCTGGGCACTGGGTGGAGGGGAGCGGAGAGAAGGGAAGGAGTGTCCCGGGATGCAGGGTCCCCTGTGTGTCCCGCTCTGTGCTAGAGGACTTAGTCTCATAGCAAAGTCTTAGGAGAACAGAGACAGGAGGAGCAAGGGCATCACGCATTTCTTGTCTTTTTACACACTCCCATCCCACCTTCCAGAAAAGATGTAAGTAAGGTCCATTCACTTTCGAGGGTTGTGGCATGTGAGCAGACCATCCACCCGGCCACACACACCGGCTGCCATCTGCATGTCAGAGGCGGTGCTCAACTCAGTATGGGAGGTGCAGACAGAGGAGGCTGGGTGTCCACAAAGGTGGAGGGCCAGGGGAGAGGCCACCCTTTATGTGCCAGGAGACAAACAGCCATCCATTACCATCCCATCCTTTGGTTCCTTCTAGAGCTTCTAATCCACAAATGCACCCTCAGGAATCTCTTAGTCCTGTATATCACCATCATCACCAGGCACAGAGAGGTTAAGTGACTTGTCCAAGGCCACACAGCTAATAAGTAGAGCCCCGAACACAGGTCTCCTGACTGGCAATCTGAGACTCTGTGCTGTGCCAGCCGACCCTTTGGAGCAAGGTTTCTCAGTGGGTGGTCCAAAATCATCTGAGCCTCATACATCATTTCTGAGAAATGCTGGGTCCCAGTCCAGACCTACTGAATCGAATACTTGGGGGATGGGGCCAGAAATTAGCATTTTAATTCTGCTTTCCTCCCGCCTGCAGGAAACGCCCAGTGAGAACACACGGAAGTTCCAGAGCCGCCATTCTAGACACGGGATCCACGTCCCTCCCAGCCCATCTCTACCCGCCATTGAGAACACAAGCTCCAGCCAACCAAACAGTTGGCCCCGACTGCATGCGCGTCCTGTGCTAAGCAGCCAAGAACACAGATGTGCACAAGTGGGTACGTAGAAGAACGTGCCGGGCCGCCCGCGACGCAGTCCGGGTTCCCTACGGGACGGCGCCTCCTAGACGCAAGCCTGACAAATGCGCATCATCACGGATGGACCCCAAGGAGGAGTGCTCTCGACAGACAGGCAAGTGCAGCGGGCCGCATGCAAGTACCCAGCTGGGGCCCGGCATGCAGCTGGAGCTCAACAGTGCTTTGTAAATGAGCATGCTTCTGGCCTGACTTTGCCATGATCACTGCTTCCCGCTTCTTGCCAACTCTCCCGATGTCTCCTACCCCATCTCAGGACAGACAGAGGCAAGGGTAATTTGCTTACAGGAAATTTCCAAGGGAAGTCAACACAAAAGGAAGCACTACCACGGAATCAGGACACCAACCCTGGGAATTTGAAAGCAAAACTTTGCATTTGATGTAAATAAAGCAGGAGCTCGGCTGTAAAGGTCTCTTTATTAAAGGAGGGGGTGCAGAGCCAAGAAGGGGAATCTCAGGGAGGGCTCCTCACCTGCAAACAAATCCTCTTTCCACCCGCTCCCTGAAGCCCCTCACCCCTACGTTCTCCACTGCCCAGGTCACTCCACACTCCAAGGGGCCTTCGCCCTGCTCGCCGCCCCTCCCTCCCAGCCTCTGCCCATGCCACCACCCACTCCATCTGCCTTCTCTGGTCCCTGCCCAGGTTTGTCAGGGCTGCTCACGACACAGTCCTGCTGGACGGGCAAGCGTGCGGGGCCCGGACGGGACCCTGGTCGGCACTCCTGACTGCATGACCTTGGGGAAGCCCCCTCCACTCTGTGTCGGGATTATGTCAGCGATGCCCGGGAGGGATCCCAGGTGGTCACTCATGATCCCCTTACACGGTACAGAGATGAACTTTTTAATTTTAGGCGTAATGCGTTTATTTTAATCTGCATTCGAAATAATATAACTTGCATGTCGAATCTATGATTTCACAGATATTACTGCTAATAAGGCTAAGTTAAAAAATAATGAATCAATTAAAAAAAAAGTATGAAAAGTATAGCATAGCCTGGGCAAAAAGCCAGGCTGATAGGGGAGTGCTAGCAATGGCTCTGTTCCTTCTGTTGGAATGTTCTAGATTCCACAGTTCCCACGAAAGAGAACGGAAGAAAAATTCCACTTCCCGTTCCAGGCTGGTGCATTCCGGGCCTGGAACGCCCTCACCCCTCTTCCCTGCCCGGCGCACCCTTAGCCTTCAGGGCCCTACTCAATTCGGATTCCACAGCCCCGGACTCCTCAGAATCCCTGGACGGCCAGCACCTCTCCCTCAGCAACTAGTCTCCACGTGTCACGGGCTCTCTCTTCCCAGGGGGACAGTCTCAGCTCTGGGATGGCAGGCGGTGAACTCAGGGCCTCTGAGCCAGACTGAAGACTAGTCTCTGCAATTCCTGGGCAGCCCGCATGAGTCCTAGATGCCATGGGGAGACCTGCTGGGCACTGGGCCCCATGATGGGCCCACCCTCCCAGGGTGGGGGTAAGACAGCTAGTGTGCAATTCAGTCTCTCCCAGAAAGCAAGGCTTGGGGAGCCACTTCCTAGCCCATGTCTGGCGGGCAAGATGACAATTTCTCTTTCCAGTCCAAGCACAGCTCACAGCCTGGCACCTGGGGTGGGCTGAGCCAGGCCCGTCGATAACGGCCCAGCACTAACCTCCTCCCTGGTTCAGACTTCACTGTAGGGTCTCACAGGTTGCTCAGAAGAACCAGACTGGGAGCTACATAGCCCCAGAGGCACTGCTGCCTTTGTTGCTGCCTAGCTGTGTGACTCGGGAAAGCCACTTAACCTCTCTGTGCTACCTCAGTGGGCTCTTATATAAAGGAGGCTGATAATCCGCACTACCTCCATGTATGCGGAGGAGTCAATGACAAACCGCCATGATGTGCACATCACAGGCCCGGCACCCCCCTCGAGGCTCACTTGATGCAGCAGAAAGTGAGGCAGGAGAGGAAGGGCTGGGCTCTGTGCAGCCCCCCTACCCTCCACTCCCTGCTTTTTCTGAATACCCCAGAGCCCTGCACGCTCAGGCATGGTGCCTGCACCCAGGTCCTCAGGGCCCCCAGCCCGAGTCTGCCATGGCCCGGTGGGCCTCTGAGGGATGCTGAGTCCCAGAGTCGGCGACATTCAGGCAAGCCAACCTGACGGGCTCTCTGGAGCCTTCCCCGCAGCACTCATGTTTCCCTGGGGGGGCCCAAAGGTGCTGGCTGTACCTGGGTCCATCTTCCCATTCTCCTTTCCGTGCTGTCCCGCTCTCCGCCCCCTCTTCCCTCCCCCATCTCCCCAGTGCCCCCGTCCTCGGGGTGTATACAGACAGAGAGGCATTGGCGGTCAAGGCCCTTGCCGGGCACACCTGTGTTCTTGAATACATGCCACCGGTGCCCCTCACAGCCCGGCTAGCGTTTCTGAACTAGATGCTGCACTGAGGGGTCAAAGCCCAGCCCTTGGCCTTGGGGCCTGTTCTTCCCACCCGCCTGTCTCCCGCGCCTGGGCCCCGGGAAGCCCTCGAATGATGGAAGCCTGCTTCCTGGGACAAATGGAGAGTGTCTTTCTAAGGGCTTTGCTCTCAGCACCGGCCTCTCCCCACCGGCTGGCAGGCTGGGGCCGGGTCTCCAAAGACCTTCTCTCCCCTCGGCTGGGCCTTTGGAAGGGCTGGGCGTCCTCGCCGTCCCCAACCCTGGGCCCACGGCCTCACTTCATGCAAATCCTACAGCAAGCGTGCCTGGCAGAGGGCTGGACGGGGAGTCTGCCATCCCAGCTTTCCACACCCCGTTCTGACCCCCGCTGGCCCTGGAGAAAAGCATTTTTGCCTCTCCGAGCATCAGGTGCTCCCTGTCTAAAACGAGATCCATAATTTCTGAATTTATGTGGTTGTCTAATGAGAATCAAAAGGGCATAACATGGGAGCAAGTCCCATTCTGGACACCAGTGCCGCGCTGGGGGGCCCAGGCTCCTGAGGGGCATCTAGGAAAGCAGCAACTCACACTCTGCTTTCAGATATGGAGACGAAGCCAGTGCCTGACAAGTTCATGGTAATCTGACAGTCGCTTGGTGGCACACAGACTGTGGGACGTAAGCGCCATGGGAATTGGAGGTCAGGGAGGAGGGGGTCACTGTGGGCCTCATGGGGGTGGGGGCCATCCACCTGTACCAGGCACGGAGGCAGCGGGGGTGGGGGGGCTACAGCCAGATCAGGTTTGCTCAACCCATTTATTATGAAAGATTTCAATACATAAGAAACAGCTGGGAGGCACCGGGGGGGCTCAGTCGGCGAAGCGTCTGACTGCAGCTCACTCAGGTCATGGTCTCGTGGTTTGCGAGTTCGAGCCCCGCATCAGGCTCTGCGCTGACCGCTCGGAGCCTGGAGCCTGCTTCAGATTCTGTGTCTCCTCCTTTCTTTCTGCCCCTCCCCTGCTCATGCACTGCCCCTCTCTGTTCTCTCTCTTTTTTAAAAAAATTTTAAAAATGTTTTAATTTATTTCTGAGAGGGAGAGATGCAGCTTGAGCAGGGGAGGGTCAGAGAGAGAGGGAGACACAGAATCCGAAACAGGCTCCAGGCTCTGAGCTGGCTGTCAGCACAGAGCCCGACGTGGGGCTCAGACCCATGAACCGTGAGATCATGACCTGAGCCAAAGTCGGACGCTTAGCCGACTGAGCCACCCAGGCGCTCCTTTCTGTCTCTCAAAAATAAATATTTAAAAAAAATAGTTGGGAGAATGGGGAAATAATCACCCATCACCTAGGTTAATTATTATTAGCATTTTGCCACATTTCTTTTTCTCTCCCTGTGTGTGTGTGTGTGCGCGCGCGCGTGCATGTGTCTGTCTTTTTTTTTCTTTTGTGGACTCATTTGAAAGGAGGTTGCAAACAACATGACTCTTGTCCCCTTATTTCGTCAGCGTGCACTTTCCACAAAGGAGGACAATTTCCTACATGAGTACACATCACCATTATCACGTCTAAGAAAGGGAACGATTCCTCAGTACCATCTG